AAGCCATTTTGCTGGATGAGCAAGGCTACACAGGAGATGTCTTGTAGCCTAGCCTTGGTCACAAATTTCCCATCGCCTTGCGAGACCAGGCGCCTTGACATTGAGAAACACCCACTATGTTTCCCTCTGGTTGGCTCGGGGTTCTGCACCTGTTGATGTCGTCACACTTGATGATAGGCTGTACATATGACTTACGGAAGTTACGTTACCACGTTCAACAACATTTAAGCAGTAAGAAACACAGATCTAATGACAAAATTGCTAAACTCTTTCCAAAACATATGTGACAGAAAATAATAAAAAGAGATGCAATTTATGATGGCCGAGCGGTTGCCATAGAATGATATCATTGGCAGGAGCAGGATCCGGATCCTGCAGCAGATCTACAGGCCAGAAAACTAGCATCAGCATTGCATTCTCTATCAAAGTCTGAGGAGTCACGCTGAGTTGACATGCATTCTGCTCCACAGGTAACAACATTTGCTCTAATGTTTTTTTAAACTAGCAACAGTCAATGCAATACAGGTGCTGGCCAGTAAATTAGAATATCATCAAAAGGTTGAAAATATTTCAGTAATTCCATTCAAAACGTGAAACTTGTACATTATATTCATGCAATGCACACAGACCAATGTATTTCCAATGTTCATTACATTTAAATTTGATATTCATAAGTGACAACTAATGAAAACTCCAAATTTGGTATCTCAAAAAATTAGAATATTCTGAAAAGGCTGAATATAGAAGACACCTGCTGCCACTCTAATCAGCTGATTTACTCAAAACACCTGCAAAGGCCTTTAAAAGGTCCCTCAGTCTTGTTTTGAAGGCACCACAATCATGGGGAAGACTTCTGACTTAACAGCTGTCCAAAAGACAATCATTGACACCTTGCACAAGGAGGGCAAGACACAAAAGGTGATTGCTAAAGAAGCTGGCTGTTCGCAGAGCTCTGTGTCCAAGCACATTAACAGACAGGCGAAGGGACGGAAAAAATGTGGTAGAAAAAAGTGTACAAGCTCTAGGGATAACCGCACCCTGCAGAGAATTGTGACGACAAACCCATTCAAAAATGTGGGGGAGATCCACAAAGAGTGGACTGCAGCTGGAGTCAGCGCTTCAAGAACCACCACGAGGAGACTCATGAAAGACATGGGATTCAGGTGTCGCATTCCGTGTGTCAAGCCACTCTTGAACAAGAAACAGCGCAAGAAGCGTCTCGCCTGGGCCAAGGACAAAAAGGACTGGACTGATGCTGAGTGGTCCAAAGTTATGTTTTCTGATGAAAGCAAGTTCTGCATTTCCTTTGGAAATCAAGGACCCAGAGTCTGGAGGAAGAGCGGAGAAGCACAGAATCCACGTTGCATGAGGTCCAGTGTAAAGTTTCCACCGTCAGTGATGGTGTGGGGTGCCATGTCATCTGCCGGTGTTGGCCCACTCTGTTTCCTGAGGTCCAGGGTCAATGCAGCCGTCTACCAGGAAGTTTTAGAGCACTTCATGCTTCCTGCTGCTGACCAACTTTATGGGGATGCAGACTTCACCTTTCAACAGGACTTGGCACCTGCACACAGTGCCAAAACCACCAGCACCTGGTTCAAGGACCATGGTATCCCTGTCCTTGATTGGCCAGCAAACTCGCCTGACCTTAACCCCATAGAAAATCTATGGGGTATTGTGAAGCGGAGGATGCAATACGCTAGACCCAACAATGCAGAGGAGCTGAAGACGACTATCAGAGCAACCTGGGCTCTCATAACATCTGAGCAGTGCCACAGACTGATCGAGTCCATGCCACGCCGCATTACTGCAGTTATTGAGGCAAAAGGAGCCCCGACTAAGTATTGAGTGCTATACATGCACATTCTTTTCATGTTCATTCTTTTCAGTTGGCCAACATTAGAGAAACAAACATTTTTTCATTGGCCTTTAGAATATTCTAATTTTCTGAGATACCAGATTTGATGTTTTCATTGGTTGTCACCTATAAATATCAAATTTAAATGTAATGAACATTGGAAATACATTGGTCTGTGTGCATTGCATGAATATAATGTACAAGTTTCACGTTTTGAATGGAATTACTGAAATATTTTCAACCTTTTGATGATATTCTAATTTACTGGCCAGCACCTGTATGGTGTAAAACTACCCTGAAATGTATGTACTGCCCCCTAGTGGCAGGAACCTACACATTGCCACTTAATGTTATTTTATTTGACATAAATCTGACAATGTTAACAGTCTATAACACTAAAAGTGCTCTTAGCAAAAATGTGTTGGACAAAATAAGATATCTGGAGTGGACTTGGTTAGCAAAGAAAGAACACCTTATATAAAGCTGCCATATTGCCCTCTTGTCGGTATTTAGAAAAAACTAGATGAATCTGTAAGCAAGGAGAAGATATCAGAGAGCATGAATTTCATTCATAGAGGATATTTGAGCAGAAGTTTAGAACAGAAACGTGGTTTTAGATAAAGCATAACAACTTTGGAAGCTTAACAGAATTATTTTATGTTTAATGAATATAATTTTGAGCTCAAGGAGCATATATTTATGTGGAAAACTGATGTATCTTGCTTTTAAATGAAGAAAGTATGCTTTTGATATATGAGCCTAGCGTCACTCCATATAACTAAGAAAATGATTACCATCCAAACCTAACACCATGAGGAAGGCTAACAGCTTTTGCAGCTCAAATCAGTCTCATGCCTGGTGTTCTGCACAACAGTTTTTTTAATTAAATAAAAAAAATCAATGAGCTGTGTCTTTTTTTTTTCTTTATTACTTCTGCAATATCAGTCTGTAAGCATTGTTCATCTAAACTCACTGTTTCATCATTCTAATATGAGAGTTAAAAGGAATCAAATATCAAATTATACAAAAGGAAAGCATTTAAATCAGGGCTCCCTAATCCTGGTCCTGTCCTGGTCCTGGAGGGCCGGTATCCTGCATGTTTTAGTTTGAACTCTGTTTCAACACACCTGATTTCAATCAGCAGCTAATTAACAGGCTTCAACCACTGAATCAAGTCTGTTGGAGCAGAAAAACCACAAAACCTGCTGGATACCGGCCCTCAGGGACCAGGATTGGGGACCCCTGCTTTAAATGTATTTTGAACTGAACAAAAAGGTTCACAATTCTTTGCTTCTTTTCTCTAAACATTTATTTTTTTTAATCCTAATCATTTCACTTACAGAAAAGCTCCACATGCAGATTAACAGATTATTAGTCAAGTTGAGGTCAGCAGCACACTGTAATCACTATAAACAGTGTTGGCAGTTCACCGCTTTCCCTTCCTGAGGTGCCAGGTAGTGAACCAGAACCTCCTTGAAGCCATATGAAAGTCTTGCTTCATGGCTTCACTGAGCTCCTCCCCCTACAAGGTGTTTGCCATCTCGACTCGGCTCGGCTCATCTCATTTCGGCCGGGCCCCATGGTGGAATGGTGACCTGTCAAGAGTGAACACAACCCCTTGTTTTCTTGATTTTCATACTTTCAGTTTTAGGCTCAGAATGTAATAATGGGCCACTAAACTAAATCTGACATTTAACTGATTCCTAGTCAAGTCAGCCTTCACGTGAATGAATGAATGAATTTAATCTTTATTTCGAACATAATAATAAGAATAGCAATAATAACAATAATAATATATAAAATAAAAATAATAATATATAAAATAAAATCACACTGATAATCACACAAAAATGTAATTATCATATTCTGTTCGAAAAGGAGTAGGAGGAAGCTGGTGCATATTAAATCCTACTCCCCTTTGACACATTAAACAAAATACAGTGAAGTAATGTAAAAAATTATATATATATATATATATATATAATCATACAAAATAATAATAATGATAAGGTTAAGTAATTTAAACAAAAATTTAAAATTTTAAATATTAGTAATAACATTTCCACTCTCCCTTTACAATTTGTTCTCCAACTGTCACATCACCCAGCACTTTGATAATATATCTTCACTGTCTTAAGACTTGGTTGCATCATGTACTCTTGCAATAGAGATTTTTTTTATATATTTTTTAAAAAATGCCTCATTAATACAACGTTTCAAGTCCTCATTCATACTGTTCTGCAGATTCACTCAACATACAGCTGTGCACATTTTTCTCATTGTTGTTCTTGTTTTATGTTTTCTAAAATTGAGTTCTCCCCTTAACTCATATCCCCCTTTTCTTTCAGAGAATATATCTTTTATATTTTCAGGTAACTGATTATATCTTGCTCTGTACATTATCTGCCCAATTTTGAATTTGACAAGATCCGTACATTTTTGTATGTTTGAACTTAAAAATAAGGAATTTGTGTGTTCCACGTGTTTTGGGGCTCTGAGTTTGAGCAAACTTCTGGTTTATGTTCACTTTGTATCAGAAATACAAGATAAAATGGAGAAAAACAAAGTATGCTGTCATAAGAACACACTGGTTTAGTACAATGTCTCTCACACTTGCTGTAGCATTTCAAACATGGCAGATTTTTCACCACAACACCCACAATTTTCCTGGGATCTATGGCATTTACCTTGCACTAAATATTTCTGTCTCCATCATCATCCACAAGTTTCTATATTTTTCATTTTGTTGGCTGTGCAACAATAATTTACTTTGATGCATGAGCACAAAGGCTGATCAAAGAGTCTGTAGTGTGGTTCTAGCCTCAGAATGAATATTAAATGCCATAGGAGCTTTAGATTGCGAGAGCTCCTCACCTTAGGGATGGCATGTTTTGGAAGTGTAGCTGTGGAGTTTTTTATTAACTCAAAACTAACTTCTGTAAAGATGGACTGAATTAAGTTGAGTGCATCAAACATAAGTGTTGGAAATTGATTTGCGGAAGAAGTTTTTGTGTGAGCTGAAGTACATTCCTCCAATGTGTGAGCAGATGTTTAAGCGATTGAATTCAATATTGCATGTCCAGGTGAAATATAATTGAAACTAACCTGCGTTTATATATTCCCATATTTGTCCCTCACTATACAGCTGGATGCTTGGAGAAGCTTGGTGGTGAAGATGGTGAGGATGTACCCAACGGGGTCTCTGTCATGGGGCCAAGTCAGATGGATGAATGTAGCGAGAACAACAGTCCTTCATCTGCTGCTCCTGTCAACCTGCCTTGGCCAAGATACAGAAGGTAAAACCATTACCTCTGTATCTTCTCCTCCCTGCCCATTTTACCTCATTGACCCCTCTTTATGCTCCATTTTAGTTACCAATTCAGTTCAAAAAAGTATGTTTTTATCACTTTTGATTTTCTTTTTTCATGTAAATGAATTAGAGGTTAGACAAAAAACTGGTCCAAATACTTTGCTCCTTCTTGTTTGTTCATTTTTCTGTTCTGATCTCATTTTAAGAGCATTTCCAATCTTTCTATATGCCAACTTCTGGAGAGAAATTAACTAAAACTTGGAAGGCTTGGGTGGTCAGACTGCAAAAAAATCAGATGGTGCTACACTGATCACTCATCAGTTATCAAAAAGAAAACTTGTGAAATCTGAAATCACCTACAACTATACTTCAATTACATCATCACATCTAATCTTATTTTTGATAGTCATCAGACTTTTTTTTATTAAAATATTTTAGGAAAAATATCACTTCAAATCCATTTTTCCAACAACACTGTTCAGTCTAAAGCAGCTCGGTACAGAGTGGGTTAACACAGCTCACGTCTGTGTTGTTGGTTTTCTCTGCCAGCTCCGTGACAGCACGTGCAACAATTGTGGGAGGAGAGGGAAGGGGGGTTTAGTTAAGACAAAAATTAGCACAAGGTGACCAGTAAACAGTGTGAGGTGATATGTGTGCTACACAGAAACACATTTCAGCACAAAAACAGCAGTGATGTTAGACATTTTGTCTTTTAGTCAGGCTCTGAACCTGGAAATGGCTGCAGGCAGCAAGGCAGCAGCCAGAAACCTCTGGAGAAAACGGTGACTCCACCCCCTAACCAATCATCAGCCAACAGTTGCAATGCTGGCCCCAGTCAGAGTACTTGACCACCTTAAGGAAGCAGGGACTGATAAGTAGAGGGAAAAGAGAGGGCAAAAAACAAAACCGTGCCGAAACGGTCTTTAAGAAAACAAGCTGGAACTTGCCACGCCCACCCTTCCCCTGCTCAGGCTGCTATAAGCTGAGCAAGCTCCAATACTCGGAGAGGCTTTGAGTAGAGAGCTCTGAAGAACAGCAGATCTCTTGTGCAGATAGAGGTGGTTCTATAATAATTTCCCCATCTGTGATGCTACGGACAATGATTTTTGAAACATCTTTTTTAGGCAAATAAAACCTAAATCCAAACACTGACAGAAAAGGGATTGATATTGTTTTGTCATGTTAGGAGTGTTTATAGATGCAGTAGAGACTCACAAGGCAGCACAGAAGGCAAGTGTTGCATGTCCACTTTAAACCAGTCATGCAGCGGTGTGAGCATGACTGCCAACAAGCTACTGCATAATTCTGATCCACTGTTTTAATAGTGAATTTGAAATGCATGATCTGTACCGGTAACTTCATCAGGTTCACTACAAAGCAGCTGTAATTATTTGTTCTCCTGAATATAACTCAAACGTAAATTAAATGCGTTCTCACTAGATGCCACGCATTTATGTCGAATTAAATGAGCTACTACCAGTATTCCAGTTTTGGAAACATCAGTATGTCTGAACTGTTTCCAAATGTTTCAACTTCAATATGGAAGAGGCCTGATATTAAATTGTGAACTGTTGGTGAAAGAAAATCATTTCTAAATATTTTACCTAATTTGAAGTTGAAACATCCAGGGATATTTTGATGAAAATGTAGGTTATTATTTAAAATGTCATTAAACATGCATTTTATGGTGATGAGCATTAGCATATTTTTGGTAATTAATAAGTTCAAAGGCTGTGATGAGGTGATTCTTAGGGAAGAGGTAACGAGTTTGATGTAGTGGAGAAGAATAAAGTTTAATGGATCCTTTTGTGATGTCAGGAATCAGGAAAGAAATAAAAATCCCCAAGGATGCATCCCAGCCAAAAATTGCTTTATCTGAAGAACGGACTGTCCAGGAACAAATTGAAGGCCCCTGAGCCAACTCACTGACTTTTTACAGCTGTGTTTTAATGGTTTCACTAAGCACATAGTAGAGATTATTTTTATTGTGCATTTTTCCTTTATTTCTAAAGTAGGTAAGAATTATTTGACTGAGAGCTGATTTTATTAAATATTTTTTGTAATAATCCTCATATTTATCCTTTTATTTTCTTATTGTTTGGTGTATTACAGCCAGGGGTGGGATAGTATTAAGTCATATAGATACGAGAGACATTTATTTTCCTTTTAATCAGAGTGGCTGGAAAGGGCTTCCATAGTGACAGAAGAATATGGTATGACCTGCAATAAAAGTAGAATAAAGTAGGAAGCAAGTTTGCAAAAAGTACTAGTAAAACACACAAATACACCAGTACTGGTTGGTGTTAACCAGTGGCCCAACTATGGAAATGTTGAGCTGTCACGTATTTTGATTATTTATTGTTCAAACAATATCATTTTTGATGTTTTATGATATACATAGAAAATAGAATAGAATAGAATAGAATATACTTTATTGATCACACAGTGGGAAAATTAACTTGTTACAGCAGCACCAACACTTAAGAGAATGATTTGAAGAAAAATAATAACTGTCGCAATTAAAACATATTAATTATGACCAATAAGATGTGATGATTCCATATTAATATGAAATATCAATCTGATAGATCTTTGAATGTTTAATCAGAAGATTCTAGGGTTCTTTGCTTCTTTAGGGAACATAAACACACTTTGTATTAATTCAGACAGAGTCAGTTTATAGTTTATAAAATGAATTTTTCCTAAACTAATGATACACGACAAGATATGAACAAGGAGATGAGGTGTGGTGGATGTGAGGTGTTGTGATGGAAGATAGATGTTGTAGCGACCGTTATTTGTATCTGAGAGAAATTGTGAAATCTGGGTGTAAAAGAATTTGTTATTTGGTTCTAACTAGAGAGCTGGTTATTGTAAACAGCATCAGTCGCAATCTGTCGTGCCAAGTCTACGCACCCTTGGTGTGGAGGTTCTCATTCGATTCGGGGGGTCTTGCTGGTCACTGCCGGTGGAGTGAACTCTGATATCAGAAACCCGTAGATAGCTCCGATAAAACCCGTCCAGTCTGAGATCCCTCGAGGTGAAGGCTGAAAGCTGGAACGCTTATTTGTGTCTAAGGTGGATGTTTAAGAGGTGAAGTAGCTCTGGAAAGAGCTATCTGGCTGTATCAGCTTGCAGCGTTGCAGAAAAGTATTTGACTGGGGGTCAAAGGAGTTTGTTTCAAAAAGGCTTCATTCCCGATATGGCCGAATCAAGGGTCAACTGGAAACAGAATTAATCGGGAAGTAAATCCTGTTTTATTAACCTGTAATGTTATGAGTTCTGGCCAAGTTTGGCAAATCAGAATTTGACATGTTTCTGAGTATTTACCAACAAACCTAAGAAAGTCACGCCTTCTTGCAGATACAAAGGTGTTTTTAACACTATGAATGAGAATTTCTTAAAACTCCTATGTGAGGTGCATATTATCCTTAATCTTCTTAGTCCCTGCACCCCCCAGCAGGTCCCTGAGGTCCAGTGATCAAAGCCTACTGGTTGTGCAGCGCACCAGGCTAAAGACCAAAGGTGACAGATCATTTGCTGCTGTGGCCCCCAGACTCTGGAACTCTCTCCCCCTGAGCCAGAGATCAGTGGACTCAGTGGGCTTCTTTACAAAGCAGCTGAAGACTCACTTGTTCAAGCTGGCTTTTGTATGACCTTCTTCACCACTCTCTCTTTATTCTGCTCTCCCCACCTATTCCACCTTCCTCAGGATCCACTGATTTCCCTCTTTCCTCTTCACTCTCTCTTTCTAAACATTTTTTAATCACAATTGTCTTTTTTGCTCATTTTAAATATATTTTTAAAAATTTTCTAAATGCTTTTTTATAGTTTTACATTTTTTGTTTTTGTGAAGCGCCTCGTGATTTTTTTCTTGAGAGGTGCTATAGAAATTGTACTTTCTTCTTCTTAACTTGTTAAATCAAGCACATACTGATTTGTGACATAAATGGATCATTGTAAGAACAATGTTAATTTCAAATTCATTGATGTAAGCACAGGTTATTCAAACATTTAATTTAAACATCTTGTTTATACATCACATATGATTATTTAACTTATAACTGTAAAATCATGGAGTCTTCACTTATTCAGAGTGAAGAATGTTGTCTGGCTTTTAAGCAGAGAGTGTAGGACCTTGGGGCATAGTGTCTATTTGAATGCTTTGTCTTCATGGAATGTCAACAAGCGCTGAGCAGAACCTTCTGGATTTAGAAGGCCAAATAGAAAGTGGATTTATTTCTGTAGATGAAAGGCTATTATGTTGATCAATATATAGATGAAAATGGACCCTTTGGTACATTACATAACAAAGGTGCATGCGTATACATATAGGCAGTAGTCTAGTATTGTGGCTTTCGACCTCTAAATACCACGAATAAAAAAGGTTCAAACACAATGCAGCATTCTGCAAGAGACACAGAAATACTATGTAAATCCGGTATTGCACAAGTATTGAACACATACTGAACACTTACTGAGTATTGCATTGATGCTATTGTGTACCAGGATAATGCCAGTACAGCTTAAACTGAGGAGTTATACACTTCCTGCAGAGGGGATGAAAGACCTGCGGTAGCATTTTATTTTACATCTGGGATGTCTCAGTCAGCCTCTGAAGGAGCTGTCCATGGTCTCCACAGTAGAATGCAGTAGGTGGGAGGGGTTTTCAAGATGGAGGTAATCTTCCCCAGCATCCTCCTTTCACACATCTCTTCAACTGAGTTCAGTGGGCAGCTCAGAACAAAGCTTGCTTTGTTAACTAGCTTGTTCAGTCTCTTCCTGTCTCGGTCAGAACTGCCTGCACCCCAACAGACCACAGCAGAGTGGATGGAGTGATAAAAGGCTTTTAGCAGCTGGGAATTAACTCCGAAGTACCTCAGCCTCCTCGGGAGGGTTTGACCCTTCTTATACAGAGATTCTATGTTGTTGGACCAGTTCAGTTTGCTGTTGAGGTGAACACCCAATGACAAAGGTATCCACTAC